TCTGCAGCCACCAAGAAAGGTACCTCCAAGGAGGGGTGAATGGCGGCAGATGCGTCCTCCTGTCGCCGTGATGATAATGAAGCCCTTTGTCCAGCTGTATGAATGTGAAGTGTGAAATCTCCGCTGACCTCACCATTTCCTATTTATTCTATACTTACCTGAATATGCCAAGTATTGCCACTTTTTAATGCATATGCAAACCACTAAAATGTCCTTTTGTGAGCCACTTTGCTAAAAGGCTGCTTTTGATATGTGTTCTTCATCTCCTCTTCAAACTGAATTAGACTATTCCCTTCTTTTTAAGACACAAGTAACTCACTATTTAGAATCTTTGGCTTTGATTTTGTCGAACAGCCCAACAGGAAGAGACCATGTTCCCTTTTTTTCTCCATATTTCTGAAGGCAAACTTGTACTGATTTGTTTTGATTTACTAACAGAATTATGTTCCCGCCACAGACACAGGCTTCCTTTATGTCCTTTCAATCATCAGTCTATTTCTGTGGACCAAGTTTTCCCAAGGAAAACTGAAATCCCTCTGTTGGCCGCTGTGTGCAGAGCCATGGATGTGTGCTTCAGCAAAAGGGGTCATCAGATTTGGGGGGACAGTAGTTATTCTTTCTAAGCAGGACATTTCCTGTATGCCTACCACTCAAACCAAGAGACCAGGTGACATTTTTAAAAGATATTCAATAAGACTGAGCCTCTAGTCTTTTGGGGGCAAAATGTGTGTTTGATGTAAAAGGTCACGTGTTCTAAAATGTAAGCTCTCTGCAATTTTCTTTTGATTGAACTGTATTTGCTACTCCCTCCACAGTTAGGGGTGGGTGATGTTTTGACGCTAATAGCCAAAAATTGTCAAATGAGCTGAACTGGAACAGTTCAACCAGGAGGATTTAAATCTCTTTGTCTCTATTGTTGTCTTCTCACAAATGTGGGGTCACCTCTGTCCTCTGAAGTGCACAGTTTGTACACTCAAAGGCACCGTTATTTTGGAAAGTGGAGTGGTACTGATGACAGCTTCTTGGTTTTCCTCAGAGCAATAGCAACCAAAAGCAATTGGTTACACCCTAGACTTCAGAGTGGAAAGGAACAAGTTCCCGTGTGGTAGCAGAGGCGTTCACAATTACGCCCGGGACCATTCGAGATTGTAAGTGAACCCGGGAAAAACGTACGCATCCTCCCTATGTCTTCATGTTTACCCTGTCAAATCTAAGAAAAGCCCATTTGAATGTTTTGAGATCCTTACATGGAAACTAATTCCTATAGCACAACTTTAAAGACATAATTCTAGAGATGTTATGATGTGATCAGTGAATTCAGTGAGGGACACACAGGCTGCTCTACCAAAAGTTTTTGATGGCAAAAAGTAAACTTTGGGATAAACCAAAGAGAAGATGCCAGGGTATGTGCTGAAGGTACTCAGACCACATTAGGGCATAAGACTAAAAAGTATGATCCACGTAGATATTTTCTCTCTCTCTCTCTGCTTCCTCTCATTATAGTTTGAGCACATTGTTAGGAATTTACTCCTGGGCTCATTGGTTTGATGATGATTCTCTATCTCTTTTCAAGGGACAATTAACCATTTTTTAAGGACTTCCATATGAAGTAACTTACATCATGCTTCTTTCTGTTTTTCCCCACAGAAGGGATTTTGTGAAATAGACTGACACAAACATTCTCTCATTTCTCGCCATTATCTAAAGCTAAAACTCAAATATCAAAACAACAGCCACTGGATTAAAGAGAATTGGAAAAGTTTTTGTGTTTTTCAAGTTGTCTAATTTATTACAAACTAAAAATCTCTTTCAAACTGGCACCAAGGTGGCTTTTCTTCTTGAGCTGATTAGGACCACATGAGCTCAGGAAAAGCTGTCAGATCCTGCCTCTGGCACAGCTGGAGTGATCCAGCTGATTTGCCAGTATGATTTTTTTTTTTTTTAAGAAAGAAACTTCATCCCAAAGTCATAAATTTATATTCTGGAGCCCCAAGCAAAATTATTTCTTATTCATTTTAAAAGAAGCAAAATTCTATTGTGACCTCTTTCATGGGACTCCTGACAAGCAAAAGCAACCAGGGTGATATTTTGATCAACATCTGGTACTCTAGTGAGAGCTAACTCAGTGCCTTCTCTCTGTCTAGATTCCCGCTGGCACACGGGGGTGTCATTCAGGAAACACTCATCCTCAGGAAACAGTCATGATCTAAGACCATGCTAGAATGTTTACCTTTTAGAATTCTGTTTGTCAGGCTGGCCCAGGGCAAACTGATGGATTAGGTCAAACTTGTCTTCTTCAGCTGACCATGAAGGGCTCCCATCTCTGCCCTGTGGTGTTCACCACCGTAAGGTAAGGCGTTCAAGTAGCCACCTGATGCCCCAGGGAACCCCTGAGGGGCTTCCTTCCTTGCCAGTCCTTTCTCAACCACTTCCTCACATTGAAACTTACCCGGCCCGCCTCTCCTTCACTTAGGTCTCCTCTCTTTGCGAGATGGCCCTTGGCCTGGGTGATAAAGAAGGCTGTATTAGTATATTCATGGCCCTAATAAATTTGTATGTATTTTCTCATGAAACACAGATGCACTTAATCAGACCCAGAGTCATACTGCCTTAACTCAAAAAGATGACACCGTCATACCTGTCTGAGTAAACAAGCCTTCCAGCCCCCTTCACAGCACATAACGTGGAGCCCACCCAGGAGGCAGATGTTTTTCTGGCTATGCATTTCAGAATTGAGATTTTGGTTTTTTGTTGTTTGTTTTTAAATAAGAGAAAGGAAGGGGGGGTGATCTTTACATTGATTCTGCAAATTCTAATTTGACTTTATAAGTCCTTTCTCACATTGCCCCTTTCTATGCACTGTATCCTGGGGATAATTTCTTTTTTTTTTTAATTTTGCCTGCCTTTGGTCAAATTCTGGTCCAGAATCCCCAGCCAGTCTGGGCTGATCTGCCCCACCATCTCAGTGTTTTCTTCATGGGATTCCAGAAAGGGGCTTCTTAGTCTCTTTGCCTTTGTTAAAAATACTAGACCTATTTGAAATTATTCCTTATTCCAGATACACAGCAGATAGAATTATATACCAACCACTGATCGGGGTGCTCTAAGTTTTCTCTGTGAAAATAGTGGGCAGAATTTCATAACCCATCGTTCCTCTATTAATAGTTAACCAGTTTGAGAGGATCTGAATAAAAGCACATCTTGGTGCATGAAACAACGGTTTGACAGAAGAGCTGTACGGCAGTGTCAGTATTTTACTGCTCTCAGCTTCACCACGCAGTTTTGTAGCCTGGGAAGCCATGCATGCAGAATGGCAGAACTTACAATCGCCGACAAAAGGCGAGGACAATGCTACCTGTGGAGCCTCGCCGCTGAGAGAAGATGACAGTTCCGGGCCTTGAAAAGAGCCTAAACTGTTGAATAGTTTCAGAATAGAACTTGCCACTATTTGAAGCCCTCATCAAAGCAAGGCGTTTTCAGGCAACTGTTAAGACATAATTATTAAATTTTACAACCATCCATTTAGCGTATTGTGAGAGAAAGGGAGAAAAGCACCAAAGTTTGTATGTCTATGGATATAACATGTGGAGGTTTGATTTTTGATCACTTTCGGAGCCAGGAAGAGGGGCTCAGACGCGACGGGAAGAGCTTCGCAGCCTTAAACACGGCTCTTTTCCAAAGTGACTTCCCTTTACCCATCCACACCCCCCACCAAAAAAAATCAAAATGTACTTCATGAAACCATTGTCTATGAAGCACTTATTAGCCGTAATTAAATGGACAATATGAATTTACTACGTCTTTAGGACTCTGGCTTGTTCTGGTTTAGAGCAAGATGATTAATGCAAATACATATTACTTGAGATAACCATTTAGCAGCTAATTTAGCCAAATTTATTACAGCAGTTAGAGGTTTTTCATTTTAGCAGACGGAGACAAGGACATGCCAAAAGTGGGCGACGTGGACGAGTGCACACTGCCCCCTAGTGGCCACCCAGCTGGCGCGCTCTTGGGGGTGTGGTGTGGCTGCAATCCATAGCCAAGTCTTAACAGCAGGTTCTGCACGTTTCCGGTATCCTTTTAAACCATTCCCATCCATAGCACTTTATTTCAGGGGATGATTTACTGCACTTTCCCCTTTTACTAGCTCAGGAGTACCCAGATACAAATCAAATCAATTTCACCTTGGCAAGATTTTGGTTAAAGTATCATTTTTAACATCTGCATTTTAAAGCTCTCTTTCAGTGGGTATTTAATGGCACCGTTTCATGTTACTGATTGTTTTTACTTGTTCCTTCATTTTGGGCCATATTTCAGAGTCTGTGTGGAGCTGTCACTCTGTTTGGCTCCAGCCAAGTCAATTCTGTGCCTCCCTGAGGCCAGTGTTTCTCTCTGACTTGGTTGGGGGATTTATTTTGTTCCAACATTCAGTCTCATCAGAATTTCCCCTGACTGACCCATGTAAATTTAGTTCATACATGGACTATAGATTCCATTAGACAAGATCAAAAGAAACAGACGTATAAGGACGCCGGTTGATAACTGCTAGCACTGAGGGGAATGATCAAAGACGGGGGCTGAAGCATCTTCAGAGCCATTCAAATATCCAGAATCTCAAAGAGGTCCACCTCGAAGCGATGAATAAATCACATACAGATTTGCCTTTGTGACCATCTGACGTCCGGCCCATTGACAATATCCACACCTCATTAGGTGTCCTGTGAGTCAAAAAGATTTGTATTCCTTGTATTCTTTCTTTCACACCATGGCTGCCCAAGACGGAACAGAGTCTTAGTACAAATGCTAGTAACCCGCTCCGCTCCACTGATTTGTTGATTTCATTTGTCTTACTAATGGCACCCTCCATTAAGCGTACAGAGGGGCACCCTGGCTTGGTGCAGGACCTTGCCTTTCTAAGCTTGAGGTTTTGCAGAGCTGATAATCATTTGGTCCCAGTCTTAATACACAGTGCCTTCTGTTTTGGTTTTTTTTTTCCCCAGTGCTGAATAAGGGCCAGTGTGTGACGAAGTACTATCGTTGGATGCAGAAGAATGGAGGATATATTTGGATACAGTCTAGTGCCACCATAGCTATTAATGCCAAGAACGCCAATGAGAAGAATATCATCTGGGTGAATTATCTTCTTAGGTACATTTTCTGATTCTTTTTCATTTCTGTCTCAGTTATAAAATATGCAGCCCAATGGTTAACAGCTGGCATGTTGTATTACCTTTTGACGGTATCTGGTGTGGAATTATGTGGAAATTCTGCTTTTCTTCCCACAAGATTCAAAGAAATGTGAAAAGAGCAAAGCTGTGTTGGAAGGGACTTCCAGGGCAGATTCACAAAATTTTTTATACTTCTTGGTCTGTCAGCCATTTGGGCAGCTCTGCAGAAGTTGCTTTGGTTTTCCCACAGATGTTCAGGCCAGAAAAAGAATACAGGCTTTTGCCTACAGTTTACACATTCAGAAAGCACCTCCTTCTCCCTCCCACACACACTCCTACCCACGCACTCCAATCCTTGTGAAAATGAAGCAAAAGGGGATGGGGAAGAAGTGGCGGGGACATTATATTCCTCCTGGACTCCATCCCTTTGAAGCCCTCAGCATATTATATAGGGTTTGACTCCCTAGGTATTAAAGTTTTGGTAAGCAAAGTGAGTTGCTTTGCCAGAACTGAGACAATATCAGTATAAAAATGAAGGAAATCTTCTTTCGCCTGCTCTTTGATCTCAGGCAAGTTTTAGTGCTGTTTTAATATGTCCTCAAATTTATATCCATAACTGTGACCAAGCTCAACAGCTTCCTAAATTCTAGTGTGCAACACCATTTCTCTCTCCTTCCTTACTTTCTGCCCTTGGATTCAAACTAGAAAAAAAGCAACCAAGACCAACAGCCTGGGTGGTCTGAGTTTGGGGGCAAGCTTTCCGGGAGGCTCTCCACCAGTCCTGTCATGAAGCTATCCGAATGTTCGGTCTGGCTCTCTCTCACCACTGCCATTCCAGTTTTTGGCTTCCTTAGTCTAAAGCCACCAAGCAAGGCCCACATGTGGTCTGAGTAGGAAAACTTCTAATAGGTCTTATGAATGGAAGTTGTTGCCCTTTGGCTGGTAATCTAGACCGGGAGTACCTGAGTCCCATTTTTCTTGGAGACAGCCAAATGGAGCTGAGACGCTGACAGCCATGGCTCATCAGCATGGCCCTTCAGAGTGTGTTCACACGCATTGGTGATGACTTGATGGCATGAATGGGCTTGCTACCAATAGTGTATCAATCAGACTCTAATGATTATTGCTCTAGAGAGGGCCTTAATGTGCACCACTTAAAAGAGTCTTCATTTATCTACTTTCTTTTTCCTTTTTGACCTCTTCTACTCCACGTTAATTCTCTCTAAAGGTAAAAGTATGTGTATTTAATGTGGCTTCCTCCAAGGCCTGATTTTCATGCAAACTATCCCCTGCGTTTGTAATATGCTTAAGATGGGTTCTGATATCAAGAAATCCTTTTACATAGAAGTTTAGGGAACAGTGGCTATATGTAATGCAGAAGGTTATAAAAACTCACATGCCAAAGAGGAAATAGCAGAAGGTATTGTGGCATTGACGTTCTTTTGCTAGGCAAAAATGGTGTTGTGCCAGGGAGACTCATTATTGTTAAAAATTAGACGTTGGTAACAGACACACCATAGACAAGAAAATGTCTGTATACCAGGTCGATGTACCTAGAGTATTAAAGTAATCTATATGGCTGTTACTCCCATTCAAGGAGATTTGTTCTTATCTGGATCTTTCTTACTCCTCATCAGCCTCACGACTTCCTGCTCTGCCCCGAGATGGAGGGAGTGAGAAGGGTTAAGGAGAGGTCAGTCCATGCAGCTTTAGGTCAACACTATTGGTCCAGCCTAGGATCACATGGTACAAGCACATGAGTGTTTGGTGATTCTAGTCCATCTAATTCCATACGGAGAGGAAGGAAGCAGTTTGGGTACCAAAGACCAGTCTTCAGGCTCGAGAGCCTCAATCTCAGATGTGCTGGACCTGTTTCAGCTGACCCAAAGACTCACTCTGTTCAATAATAAAAGACTTAAGTTGGGTGGCAAGTGACTTGTGAACCCCATGGCATCTGGACCAAAGGAGACTAAGATCGATGGGCTTTAGCAGAGGGAACTCTACCAAGTCTGCCCCTCCTTGGTATCACTTCTATAGGCCAGAGCTCTAGTAAGAAGAGGACTTGGCCTTGGCAAAATAGCAACATTGAAGTTTGTTTCTCTTTCCCACATTCTTGTCCTTTGTTCTCCCCTGAGCAATATAGCCATGCTCCCTCTTTCTGCCCAGAATCCCTCACTTCTGGGCCCCATCCATGCTTGTCTGTCTCCATTCTGAAATTACTGCTCCCCAGTCTTCTTCCTATCCCCTCATAATGCTCAGTAGACTTAGAGGCTCTTAGAGATTCAGAGACTGCATAAGTGCTAAGGCGACCTTCCCACCACTAGTCTCATCTGATTATCTAGAGAAAGCTCTGCTGCTGAAGCTAATTCACACTAAGGTGTAAATGCCTGATAATCCATCTTAGTGAATTAACCCTCCCAGGGCCATCTGCAGTTTTAGAGTAGTCACTGAACACTGACTCTTTAACATAGGAATTTCACTAGAGATTAGCAATGAGTCAGTAATCACCTCTGGCTAGTCTCTGGTTGGCTAGCCATCATGGAAGGATAGAAGAGGCATTTTCCATTTTGAGGCAGGAGGCCTTCCTTGTGCCTTCAGATTGCAGTAGTCTATATGGCTCCTACATCAGGCCAGCCTTGGAGTGGCATTTCTAGAAGACAGCTAACTCAAACTGACCAAACACACTCTCTTTTCCAGAAAAGGCTTGTTTCTAAATTAAAAATAGAACAAAAATGAAGCACGTTTGTGCAAATGGGGTTAGATCCATTCTGTTAGGGTCTCTTTCACACCGGGACTCTCCCCACTGCAATCAGATTTCCAGCTAACAAGCCACAGGTGTACACCACATGAGCAGATGAAAATGTGATTGTAATGGGTGTGTTGACAGTTCGGTAGCCATAATCTACGCATCCCAAGGTGCACCTGTGCATCTGTCGGATCGTTAGGCGCTGAGGGCTCTGCCCCCCGCCCCCAGTACCCTTGGTACCATCTGAACAGCTGAGAAGCTCCATCAAGGGGCCAAGACAAGGATACTGAGGCAATGGACTCATTAGGAGCCCAGACGAAGATAGGGCCCACCAGGAGGTATGGGGGTGAATTGTTGAGAGTACTTCTCATCCTCCCTCCCTCCAGGTGTTGCACTGGGAGGAATGTCAAGCAGCACAGTTCCCTGGCCCCCAGTGGTACCTGATTATTTAAAAGCTTTTTAGTGGCTTTCCTGTGGCATTTGGGTATTCAATCATTGTAGCAGGGTGCACCTGTACCCAGCATAGGAAATCCAGGCTTCTATAAAAGTCCGTGATGAGCTGAGAAATGATTTCATGCTTAGTCTTTTAAACTCTCTAAACTCCAAAAGTTGGGGGCAAGGAAGTGGGAAGAAGATGGTCAAAAGCAAACTGTACAGAATGGGTGTGTGCATTCCTGATGGATGCCTCCCTCCACAGCAACCCCGAGTACAAGGACACGCCCATGGACATCGCGCAGCTCCCCCACCTGCCCGAGAAGACGTCAGAATCCTCGGAGACCTCCGACTCCGAATCAGACTCTAAAGACACCTCAGGTATTACAGGTATTACTACTTCTCCATGTTCTGCAGCTTCCCAGACACGAGGGGCTGGGCCACAGCCAGAGGGCCACGGTCAGAGCAGAGCCACCAGTCAAGTTTTATAGGGAGACATATGTCACATCAAGTTATCACTGTCTCTCTCTGCATACATATGTACATATACTTATATACCATCACATACATGTGTACACACACATATGTGTGTATATATACATACAATACATACATATACATATACATATGTGGCGGCATATACTTATATATGTGGTGGTGTATAAATATATACATATATCCATATATGTATGCTGTCGTATATACTTATATACATGTAGATATAGGTATATTGTGGTATATAAACATATGTACACAAATATACAGAGAGAGAGAGAGAGTGATCGATTTGGCCATCACTAATGGCAGCCCTCCACGGGCCATACAGAAGGAGCCCTGCCCTAGCCGCATAGGCAGCTCGGGCTCTTTACCGGAAGCAGACAGCAGGGCTCTCTCTGCTGCTCCAAGACAGCCTGTGACTTTGAGCCCCAAATATTCACATCGTCACCAAGCCGGGTTTGGGCCTCTAAAGTGGGATACTTAGCATCGGTAAAAGATTCTCTCAGGTGCTGGACTGTTACTTATTTTCTGAGTCTATGCAGAACAAATCCATGCTTTCCCATTTCTAGTTATTTTGGGAAGTAGACTTGCTGAGTAGTTCTCTGGAGCACAGGAGAGTTAATATAAAAATTTACTTTTCCTCCAATCCCCAATCCCCTTCCACGTATGGAGCCAGGGAGCACACAACTCAGAGAATTTTATAGCTGCAAAAAACCCTAAGCCTCTTCTAACCCAACCTCCTCTGCTATGGAAACGAAGGCCAGAGCAGTTACATGATTTGCCCAAGGATCTAGTCCAGGCTGCCATCCAAAAGCATCACAGCAGAGCCATAAAATCAACATCATCTCTTCTGAGGTTACATTACTGGGAAAATCTCTTCTCCCTAAAACATGCTGGGTGGCTAGGGTTCCCCCACCACCACCTCCCATCCTCAGGGCACCTGCCCTCCAGGCTTGTTAACACACATCCCTCTACTCCAGACACAGGGGCAGGGAGGTAGGCCAGAGGATCTTGATTGTTTTCCTATCTCCTAAATTGCATTTATTTGAAAGTTCTTTACTAGGGCAGAAGTTCTAGAATAGACAGTCTCTGCTCCCTATTTATATAGTATTTGGCAATGGACAAAAAAGACAAAAATTCCCTGCCCCGTGGAGCTTATATTCAAGTTGGGGGAAGAGACAGAAGTAAATAAAAATAAATAAACCATACAGTGAATCAGATGGTGGTAAGTGTTATAGAGAAAAATAAGAATAGTGTGGTTTTCAATAATGAACAAATATTCACCAGTGGAAGGCACAGACCTCTTTAGAAAGTCACCCAGCATACCATCATTTCTCTGTGTCACTAACACCTTATTCCAGGTTATTTACTGACTCCAGTATTTTTGCTGGACTTCTCCAACGTTAACGTGCTTAATTCCTAATTAGGGATCATCTTGTTCAAATGGGATCTGATTCAGTAGGTGTGAGTGGAAGCCTGGGATTCTGCATTTGTAACAAGCACCCAGGTGATGCCAATGCTGCCGGTCCCTGGACCACACTTTGAGTAAAGGTCCAGCTAATCTAGGCCCTCAAGAGAGAGAGAGAGCCCTGGCTTTAAGTAACCAAGGGGTGGAGAAGCTCGGGGTGGGGCAAGACTCCGCCCCGCCGCGCCCCCCAGCAGGTGAGGGGGCGGTCTGGCCCTGCTAATGTGGTGTCTCCTGTGTCTCCCTCCCCGCCCCCACTCCCGCTCAGCCTGCGCCCGCCCCACGCAGAGGACAACGAGAACTCCAAGTCGGACGAGAAGGGGAACCAGTCCGAGAACAGCGAAGACCCGGAGCCCGACCGGAAGAAGTCGGGCAACACGTGCGACAACGACATGAACTGCAACGACGACGGCCACAGCTCCAGCAACCCGGACAGCCGCGACAGCGACGACAGCTTCGAGCACTCGGACTTCGAGCACCCCAAGGCGGGCGAGGCGGGCTTCGGCGCGCTCGGGCCCATGCAGATCAAGGTGGAGCGCTTCGTGGAGAGCGAGTCGGACCTGCGGCTGCAGAACTGCGAGTCGCTCACGTCGGACAGCGCCAAGGACTCGGACAGCGCGGGCGAGGCGGGCGCGCAGGCCTCCAGCAAGCACCAGAAGCGCAAGAAGCGGCGGAAACGGCAGAAGGGCGGCAGCGCCAGCCGCCGGCGCCTGTCCAGCGCCTCGAGCCCCGGCGGCCTGGACGCGGGCCTGGGGGAGCCCCCGCGGCTGCTGTCCTCCCCCAACAGTGCCTCGGTGCTCAAGATCAAGACGGAGATCTCGGAACCCATCAACTTCGACAACGACAGCAGCATCTGGAACTACCCGCCCAACCGGGAGATCTCCAGGAACGAGTCTCCCTACAGCATGACCAAGCCCCCCAGCTCCGAGCACTTCCCGTCCCCGCAGGGCGGCGGCGGCGGCGGCGGCGGCGGCGGGGGCGGGGGGCTGCACGTGGCCATCCCCGACTCGGTCCTCACCCCGCCCGGCGCCGACGGCGCCGCCGCCCGCAAGACTCAGTTCAGCGCCTCGGCCACCGCAGCCCTGGCCCCCGTCACCTCCGACCCGCTGTCGCCCCCCCTCTCGGCGTCCCCGCGGGACAAGCACCCCGGGAGCGGCGGCGGGGGCGGCCCCAGCGCGTCCAACTCCTTGCTGTACACTGGGGACCTGGAGGCGCTGCAGAGGTTGCAGGCGGGCAACGTCGTGCTGCCGCTGGTGCACAGGGTGACCGGGACCCTGGCGGCCACCAGCACGGCCGCGCAGAGGGTCTACACCACGGGCACCATCCGCTACGCGCCCGCCGAGGTGACCCTGGCCATGCAGAGCAACCTGCTGCCCAACGCGCACGCTGTTAACTTCGTGGACGTTAACAGCCCCGGCTTCGGCCTCGACCCCAAGACGCCCATGGAGATGCTCTACCACCACGTGCACCGGCTCAACATGTCGGGACCGTTCGGCGGCGCCGTGAGCGCGGCCAGCCTGACGCAGATGCCCGCCGGCAACGTGTTCACCACGGCCGAGGGACTCTTCTCCACGCTGCCCTTCCCCGTCTACAGCAACGGCATCCACGCGGCACAGACACTGGAGCGCAAGGAGGACTGAGCGCCCCCAGCGCGGGGCGCTTCCGCTCGGGGGAGGCATCGTCGGCGTTTTCGTTTAGACCTTTAATTCTAGCACTTTGAATTCCAGCAGGTCAGCGTCTTCTCTCCACACGACGGTCCCCGTTCCATCCCCTCTTTCTTTAACTTGACTTATTCTTTCCTGTAAAGATATGTTTATTTTTTGCCTTCAGAGGGTCAGAGGACCAGTTGCCTGCCGTTTTGTCTTCTTCTGAGATGTGTGTTGGGTTGTTTTGCTTTCCTTTGCATCTTTATTAAGATGTCTTTAATGTGTATATGCCTCTGCCATAGAATACTCAGTCTTGTGGTCAAGAGATTGCTCAAGTGACAACCATGGGGTTTTCTTCCTAAAGATCTTGATATGATCAAGATTGAAAGAGACAAGCATAAACAATGTGCCCTGTTTGACTAAGTCAAATGAAATGGGGTGGTTTTTTTGTTTTTGTTCCTAATTCCTTTAAAAAAAAATAGGGGGATAGTATTTTAGAATTTTATGCAGAATTTAATTCTCTTTTTATGGTTAAGATTTTAAGATTTTCTTACTTGCACATAAAAATAATTTGGGTTCTTAAACTTAATTTCAGGCCTGTGACTAGAATGTTTTAAAAAAAAAAAAGTTGGACTAAATGTTAATTACTGAAACATTAACTTAATTTTTAAAACCATGGTGCTATCATTTATTAATCTGTATTGTCTTCATACAAAATGCAGCTCCTGGGCTGGGTTTTGGGGAAAACAAAATGTGTTCTGTCCTGGTCTGGAGTCCGTTGCTGCAGTCTCCTTGGTTAGTTAAGACAAAGCCCTCATTAACGTTTGCTGCAGGACTTAAAATTTTTTACCTCCCAACTAACAAACATAGCCTCACATTAAATTTAATGGGTCAGTAAAGCCCTTTTTAAAGGGGCTTTTGGAAAACTCAATCAAACTGATTTGAGGAGGAGTTTAGGTACATACTGTGTTTTGTTGAGCTTTTTTTGTTTGTTTTTTTTTCTTTTTCTCAGTCTAACTGAGGCTAATTTTTGCAACTTCAATAACACTTCGGAGTAAAAGAAGGAAAACAATATTTAACATGTTTTCGACTTTTTTCATTTCTTGCTAAAAAAGGAAGGTTGCATTTTGGGGGACTGATTTGATTTGATGGAGTTTTGTTTTTTTATTTTTTTCCCCCTTTGGTTCTCTTATTTCTAGGTTGAAACCAATAAGGTTTAAAACTAAAGAATGGGTTAATAAGCTTCAAACAGATAACTACAACAGAATACTGCACATTAAGTAAAAAAAAAAAAGAAAAAGAAAAAGAAAAAAATATCCTATTTTGTCTTTGTTGCCAGAAATCAGTGTAGTGTCAGACACTCCAAATGACTGTCAAGTATAAATTCTTCTTCCACTCCATTTTTGGCAGCTGTTTGTTAAGGCATCTAATAACAGATGTGAGAACTGTGATGTGTGCAATGTGTACGTGTCCTTGGCTGTTTCCATCGCAGTTTCCATGTGTGTTTCTATATGCAGTATATACTAAGCTAACGTAGTTGTTTTGTCTTTTGTCTTCTCTGTGCTCGATCTCTAGTCCGGAGTGGTACAGTCCCATTCCTGCAGTCCTAGTGAATCAGTGATTCTTGGGGGTTAGTGATTTTTGTGTGGTGGCCTTCCTCTGTAATGTCCCCCTATGCTGCTTCTACTGTCTGTGAACCTTCCGTTTCCCTTTTTAAAATTCCTGCTGTTGCTTTGCTGATGTATATTCTCCCGACCTCTCCTTTCTTTCCCACCCCCTCTCGCCTCCCCTTTTCCCCTCATCTCTCCTTCCCCCGCTTCTCCAAAATCTTTTTCATTCTCAGAGATAAAAAGACTCTTAACTAGCTCAAGGTTAATGGAGCCATGTTTCCCACAATGGAATTCTGGGTATGACTCTTTCTTCTGGAGTGCGACGCAAGCACTGAAGAAGAATGCTCAGATCTAGTCAATAAATTGATGCCATATCGCCTCAATGGTTCACATTCCCAGAGTCCCTTGTGCTCTACCTAAAAGCAGTGGGTGCTTTTCTTTGGTTTCCTTCCAGGTTGGCTGATGGAGCAATATGTAAAGCAATTACCAGTGAGACAGAAAATTATTTCAAAGGTCAACCAACATTTTTTAAAAACAGAAGGGGATGGGGTAATGGAATATAGAATTGTCATATATATTTGTTTATACGTGCAATGCTAATCTAGTAACTGTCCTTTGAATATCACTGTGTTGAGTGGATTCCTCTAGGACCTTTGATTCCATGAGTTGGACCCAAACCACTGTGGAATACTAACAAAAAGAAGTTAAATGCCACAAATGTTAGTAGTGAGCTTACTTGAAGGATTTAAGTAGGTTTAGAAGGTGAAGAAGGCCAATCAAGAAATTTAAAGATTAATTTTGGAAGCTCTACTCTAGCTATTGAACAATCAAAGGAATGCACCTATCAGCTACAAAGAACAGCTAGACAGCTGTTTTTTTTTTCTTTTATAAATGTTTCTGTGTTGTGTCAAAATGATTTCTGGTGATTTAAACTAACAGATAATCACAGCTGCTGTCTAAATCCATAGTGTTTAAAATTACAAAATGAAAAAAAAAAAAACACTTCATTACCTGTGAAGACTGTGTCTGTGTTTTTAACTATTTCTTGTACAAATATATGAAAACTTTTATGAGGAGACTGGTGCCAAGTAGCTGAATAATGGGGAAAGGGATATTCTGTTCGTAAAAATCTTAGCAGTGTTACCAACTCTACAATATATATATAAAAAAAATTAAAACGTTACAAAGCGACAGCTATGGTACATTTGTTTTGTGTGAAGCTAACCGGACCTAACTTCCTGAGTGCCTGGCTTATTTTGAAACATTTTTTTTCATTGACCATTGATAATGCTGCAAATCAGAAATGTACATACTTCATTTACAACAGGGTTCTTTTTATACTTTTGTAGATTCTCATACATGTCACATACATGGTTGTCTTTATGTAACTTAATTTTTTCATCCGCAGGTGCCATTTTCATAATAAACTTCTCTTGGATTTGTTACTATCTGGCATCATTTCTTTTACATGTAACCATCCTAACTAATGAATGCTGGTAGTATTTGTTTAAGCAGGTACCTTGGTCATTATTCTTGATTTTTTTTTAAAAAAGTTAAAAAAAAAGATGCATCCATATGTTTGCTAGTTTCGGAAAAAAATGCATAGCTTGTGTACCGATGAGGCTGACAAGGCACAGATTAAGATGCTAATCCAAATACTACACCAAATTTGCAACCATCCTAAATTTTCAGCTACCCCAACTCATTGTCATACTGAGCATTATTATGCACATTATCAAAACTGAACAATGGGCCTGCAACATTAACCACTATGGGAAGTGTGCATTTTTTCTTGATTAATGCACAGTAAGTGATGATAGTTTTCATACATTAATCATTTAAAATGCACTCGCTATTTTCATTTATTATGATCTATAGTGTATAACCAACTGTTCCATCACTTGTATCTTCTCCTTATACTAAATATGTATTTTCTTTCTCCAGATAAGCCGAGTAAGTCGTGGTTGTGCTGTGCTATTAAGTTAACATGCAGACTGTCGCGTTTTAAGGCAGGTCAGCTGGCTAACTCAAAAAAAAGGAAAGAAAACTTCAGCTGCTATTTCAAAGTTAGTTAAGGATACAGATGGGTCATTTGTTAAGTCCATGCTTTCCAGAAAATGAAGAGCTGTGAATGCGTCGAGCTGAAAGAAAAAGCAAACACTTTTGTCCAAAAGCTACCAACTGTAGTGCAGATCTGTCCCTAGTTTAAGTCTTAAATGACATTTGCCCATGTGAGTGTACTTTTTATTAGTGGAGGATTGCTTTAGACTGGTGGATATGGAAATGTGGTTGTGGATGTAGGGCCCTAGCTCTCTCTACTGTGCCTTTTATGGGTCCTTGAAATAAGTACTTAAAAATTAGAAAGAGGGAGAGGGTGATTGAGAATACAGAACTGTGTTCTCCCAACTACTTTTCCAAAATTTATCTTTGCCTTTGCTCTTGAGAGTCAGAAGAATATAGTGTAGCAAGATTGAGAAGTAAAAAAAAAATTGATGACGCTAGAAACGCAATCCAGCACAGATGACGGTGAGTGCTGAAGCCAGCTTACCCAAGGCTGTCAGTACTGGTGAGCTGGCTCTTAGAAGTGGCTTCCAGAGCTTTGCATGGGGAAGGGTCTACCAAGGCAGAGAGGCAATTGTATGAGTGAGGGATTAGGGCTGACCCTCTGGCTGCTGGATGACAATATTGGTCAGCCATAACTGGACACCCCTTCAGCCCTGTGATTGGAAAGGGTGGTAGTAGGGGTTGAAAAGGGGAAGCCAGACATGGTGATGGTGAATTGAAATCCTCACAGTATTTGGAGCTTCTGCAGTAGAAGTGGTAGAAGTCCTGGATTGTCATCATCTAAGCTCAAGCCTCCCTTAGCATCAAGTTCCCTGTCCTTTATTTATAGCCATCAGAGCTAAAATAGGTCATTAATGAAATAAAGAACATCTCTCAGCCAGAAAGAGAGCAAGCGAGCTCTGGGCTCAGACCCACTGACGCTCAGGAGGCCCTGCTATTTCCGCAGCCCCGGGGCTGGCAGCCAAGCCAGGGCCCTGGGCTCCCCAGAGGCACGGGACAGCTCCCTTGCCAGGCTGGCAGCAAGTCACTTTGTCAAGGCTCCAGTTACAGGTGACGGACAGACCAGGGATCAGTGGCCAGCTCTCCGCACCTTTCCTCATCTCCTTCCTAGCTGATACTGATACTTGTTTATTTGGCAATGAGGAACAAGAAAAAAGAAACCTTAAATAAAGCAGGAGACAGGACAAGAGGGGAGCTATGCATTCAGGTGAGCATAAAGAAACTGATTTTAGTCCTTGTGGACTGTAATTCTTACCCATCTTCACCTACTCCCAGACAAAGCCTATTTATGTTGAACATGTTTAAAACTATTTGAAATCAACTTGGGCTGTGCATTGCATTGAAGGTAAGAGATAACATATATTATCAAGCCCGGAAGATAGTCCATTCAAGCCAAGAAGATTATTATCCAGGTTCAAAAAGTAGACAGAGTGACGGATTTGGGAAAGAAGTAAGAATATCTTTGCCAACGCTTCATATCGCATAGTGAAAGAGGACAAACCTTGTTCTTGAGCATAATTCCCAATGATGACAACAGCAGGCTTAAGAAACAATCCTGGGACGCTAAGGTAAGTGAACACTCAACTGCTCCTGCTTTCCTGCACCTCCTAGGAAACCATTAGAAAGAAGGGGAGCTGACCTGGTAGACTCCCCACAGGCACAAATCATGGCTTGTTCATCTGCATGTCCCCCCATAGTGCCCAGCTCAATTATTTACCAATAGTCTTGGCTCAGTAAAGATCTGCTGAATACTGCTGGATGAGGACATGTGAAAAAATGAAAATGAAACATGACT